TTAATTAAATTATATTGTATAATTATTATATAAAAATAAATGAAAAATAATAACTGATACAATTAATATTATATTATAATCATAAAAAATTATACTAAATAAATAAAAAACCAAGAAAAGAAAATTTAAAACACAATTTGTATATAAAAATAAAAATTCTAAAATATATTATATTTTTATTTTACCAAAAAATTCTAACAATATATTTACACAAAAATAAAAAAATAAAAAAAATATTATTTTATTAAATTATTTTGTAATCCACTAATTCGATTAATTTAAAGACAAAATTACAAATTAAATTATTTATATTAATTTTATAATTTCATAATTTAATATAATTTATTAATATCAATTTAAATTAATTTTAAATTAAACTGAATCAGTTTCAAACACATCAATCAATTTAAATTAAATATGAGCAGCCTCCTTGTCTGTGCCAATAGTATGAAAGGGGGACTCTTGGTTTAAACAAAATTTCTGTGGTGTAAAATAGTATAATATCAAAAATTAAGGGGGCTGGTTCTGACAACTTGCATAGATGCGGTAGGAAAAAGACAAATCAATTCAAGAGGTACCATTTTCACTGGCAAAATTAGCTATGCTCAACGACCCAGCAAATCTCATCCCCAAACTTAAGAAGAAAACCGTTTCCGGTCCCCGGTCACCAATCTCAGGTATGTTTCTCACTTTCTTCAATTCACCCTAACCGATCTCCACCTCCATATTTGGGTTTTCTTAGAATTTTTCTTTTTTGTTCGTTCTTGAAATTTTCTATGAATTTTGCGATTAGCGCTTAGATGCAGTAATTTCTGGGAAATTAACGGTGAATTGATGTTGATTCTGGCAGTGTTTGGGTTCTTTCCTTTTTTCTTTGAAATGATTTGTTTATTCAATTAAGTAATTGGTTTATCAGGTCGGATTTATTATATTCTGTTTTGAGAATTGGGCAATTTCGATTTGTCGAATGGAGCTACAAAGCGATGCGAATTAGAAAATAAGACTGCATTGGGATTTGTGATTTATGAACTTTTGATTGATTAATTGGTTAAAAACTAAATTGTGGAGTAATTAATGATTGATAAATTCATAAATTTTCATCTTTTATCGAGATTATTAAATCTCTTCATGGCCGTTACCAAAGATTCAAGTTGTATGTTTGATGGTTATGATTTCAAATTATTTTAGTTTTATTTTATTTAGAGGTACGGATTTCTGATATAATTCCTTCTGGGTGTTGTTTTTCATTCAGGTAACTGGATTGGGGTTATAGTAATGTTTCTAGCAGAGTTTTAAATTCCACCCTTGAAGTTTTGATTTTTAGGTGTGATAATGTATCGGCCAGTGGCTACTGCCACAACACGGGGAGGAATCCCCACAGATAGTGGAGATGCTATTGTGACCTTGGATCAAGTTCCGCGGTGGAGTGATGCTGAGCATAGGTCTTTGGAGTATGAGAATGAGGATCCCACATTTTCTAATTCCTATTTCCCTGATCCTTTGACTTCTCCTGGTGAGGAAAGTAGTAGCTATGGGATGGTCTCAAGGTTTCCTGTTGATCATGAAATAAACTCTAAGATTTATTTGTGGAGGGGGCAGCCTTGGAACCTTGAAGTGGATGCTGTTGTTAATTCTACAAATGAGGTAAGGATGGAGTTTTTCCCAATTCACTCTTTATATATTTATACATATGATCTTAACTAGAACAGTGAAAAGTGCATTGTTGTGGATTGTGAAAGTGCATAACTTTGCATTTCCTACCATATCTGCTTCATTATATAATGTGTAGCTCCTGTTAAATTGAAAAGGAAATGATGAGAGATGAGAACTAAATGGAATAGCAATTTTGAGATTTACTTTAGAATCTTTTTTTTTTCTTAAAGCAATTTCGAGATTAAGCATAAATTAATCAAAAATTAAGGTGGTATATGTATATTTTTGGAGTGTTGTAGATTAATAAAAAATTGTGTTAACCTCACCATTTAGAATCTTGATTGGTGATCTATAGGCTAAAAATATGAATGAAATGAGTTGCACTGGCTTTTGATTGTATGAACTCTCTTTGCTGAATCTTCACTAGCATCAGACTGTTTTCTTTTCTTTTCTTTTCTTTTCTTCTTCTTTTTTTTTTTTTTGGACAAAAAAGAAGTTTATTAAGGGAGTACAAGGCATATTCCAACCCTTTACAAGTTGCAATTACATTCCTGTCAATATACAGCTATGATCCCTCCAAAACCGTCATCTCCCTGAGTAAAAAACAACATACAATTACAAACCTCATATCTTCTAGTCATCTACCCATTAACAAAGATCACCAAAGAACTGCACTTACACACTCAGAACTTTAAAAGTAGTACCAGACTGCTTTTAAAGTTCCCTTGGTCTTTTTGTCTAACCTTTGTTAGCAATGCTTTAATTGTTCACTTGAACAAACCTTTAGCTTCCCTTGGGGTATTTCTTATTTAAAACACCTTGAATTAAACCAGCAAAGCTGAATGGGACAGCCTTGAGTTTTTTTTTTTTTTTTTTATTCCTGATATTTTCTTCTAATGAATGGTTGACAGAACTTGGATGAAGCACATAGTAGCACTGGTTTGCATGCAGCAGCTGGACCTGGTCTTGCAGAAGAGTGTGCAACCCTGGTATGCCAAACCTTTTTACCAATGTCTGAAATTGTGAGAACACACGAGGGATAAGTAAGTTGTATGGCTATCTGAACTTGGGACCTAAACGCCTCACCCCTAAGGGGATAGTTAACTACTCATCATCAAGCATAAGTTCCATGTTTAAATCACTGACATGCTAATTGTTTAGAATAAACCATGGTTGGGGAACTGTTCTCATGGATAGTATTGATAATCCATTGCATGTGCATCAAATTTGCATATAGACTTAAGGTGTAAGAACACAATATATGAAAAATTGGGGCATGCAATTGCAGGTGTTAGTTTATACCTGCCATTTATATTTGAGGAAATTCATTTCGATGATTTTCTGATTTGTAAGACAACATTTTTGATTGTCAAGACAAATTGTTGAAACTATGAAAATTTGAAGCAAGATGGGTCTGACATATCTTTCTTACCCAGGGAGGATGCAGAACAGGGATGGCCAAAGTTACTAATGCTTATGACCTTCCTGCTAGGTGAGTGTGAGACACTCTTACATGCACTCACATTTGGAGTTTTGGACTAATCATGGCAGATGTTTTTATGCAATGGTCTTATCAAATGCCTTTTTTCTCTCTCACTCTACTGAATTGCTTTGAGAATCTGGCACTGGCAATGTTTTATCTTCTGTAATATGCAGTGTAACAGTAATATATGCTTTTCTGCCTGTTGGTTTCATAATTTATTGATCAAGTCTGTGACAGTGATTCATTTTTTTTTCTTTTCTTCTTTTTATCTCTTATTTTCTTATATGGTGTTTTTAGGAGGGTTATCCATACTGTTGGTCCCAAGTATGCAGTAAAGTATCATACTGCTGCAGAGAATGCTCTGAGCCACTGTTATCGATCTTGCCTTGAACTCCTTATTGAGAATGGGCTTCACAGGTTTGTTAGTTGAAGCTGATAGATATATTCTTTCTTGTTTTTGGCTCATCTATTCCTTAGTTTAGGTGGTATAAATTGATTTGTGGTTCCCATGTATGAGTGCAGCATTGCCATGGGCTGTATATACACAGAGGCCAAAAACTATCCACGTGAACCCGCTGCACATGTGGCTATAAGTGAGAAACTTCCCTCGTTGTACAGTTTTGCTTGACTTTTGTATGTTCTGTGAACTGCCTAATCATCTCACGTAAAGAGTCTCTGGTACAACTGTTATATGAGTGATAGAACAGGCCAATAATAATAATGTGGGTCCCCTTCTTATTCACTTGAACCTGTGTGAATTGGTATTTAGCCCCACTTTGAGTGAGTTGCCAAATTGTGATTGGTTTGCTAGAAGCTGACACAGTATAACTGTTACATTGAAGACCATCTCAGTGCTCTAATCCAAAAGTAGTTGACTTTCCCTTGCATGGTGTTACATATTTAAATTCTCTTTCATAAATCTTGCTGTTAGGTGTTGCAGAAATGATGAATCCAAATTAATTTGAAATGCTTTTTAAGATTACCAGAAATACTATTAAGATAATTTTTTACTAATTAACATGGATCCTAACTATTTGTTATGATGCTGTCTCTGTTTTTCTTAAGTTGCCTATTTGGTTTTTGAATGTGATAGAAACCTCTATTGACATCTACATATTTTCTTTCTATGGAACACTAGTACTTTGTTAAAGACTTTTTAAATGACATTTGTCTGTCAAAGTACTTTTTCTACTAATATGAGAGATGAAGAACATGAGTAACATAATTGCCCTGATATGATGGTGTTCCATATTAATTTGTCTATGAAGATTTTTGGAAGGTTGAATTTTCTTCTGCTCATTCATCATATCAACAAGTCTTTCTTTGCTTTTTTGGTCAGGGACTGTGCGGCGATTTCTTGAAAAACAGAAAGATAAAATCAGTGCTGTTGTCTTCTGTACTACAACATCATCTGATACAGAAATATATAAAAGGTATTCCAATACTATTATTTTAGGGAAATCCTCATTCTCACATAGTTACCTTGTTTGGCTGGATATTAGTTTATGATCTTGTGGTTTGATCTGTAACATCTACTTTAATGTTATGTAAAATAACTTCTGTTAGAAAACCAACCTCATAAAATCTAAGCAATATAAAAGGGGAAAAAATATTTAGATGATGGGTCTTCTTTTATATGGATTGCTGATCTCATAATAATTTGCATATGCCTAAGCTTTTAAAGCATCTCAATCTCCACGTGGATATTCAATCAGGCGTTTCTCTCAAATTGTGGGTTAGTAGTGTGCTTGGTTTAACACAGAAGTTGTCTCATTTCAATCTTTTCTGTGTGGTTTAACAAAGAAAGAGAAAGAAAGCTAAGAAAACCAAAAGGTCATGTATTTTGTTATTGCCATTGTTCTTTCTCATGGGCCTTCTTTTGCATCTCCTCTTTCTGTTGTTGGCATTGTTCTCTCGTTCTCATTTTCTTTTCAGTTCATGGGTGTTTTGGATTTCTTGATGTATATATAGATATATATTATGATGTTTACCTGTTTGGTATTATTGTTTAATATAGGATGTCTTTTTGTCAGTCTATCCTTCTGCAATCTAATGGCTTTTATTTGCTTAAGCTTTCATTTTTTTCTTTTTTTGGTTTTTTCACTTTTCAAGTGGCTTCTAGGTATGCTTTAATTTTCTTCTAATATCTGTGAAACCTTTCCTTTGCTAGTCTTCTCAGTTTCAAGCATTTGATATTTTCTAAATTTTCTTCTGGCATCTCTAAATTTGTGCTATATTTTATCTGGGTATTTTCTAAATTCTTTTCCTCTCTCTCTCTCTTGTTGGGTTACTTGTAGAAGGTTTTCATAATACTCATGTTACTAAGTTTACAAATACTAAACAAAACTTAGGGTAGTGACTAGTGAAGCATAATGAGGCCAAACAAAACTTAGGATAGGCTTGTGAAATTTTCCACTATATTTCTTCTACATTGCAAATTGGTAAGATGCCTTGCCATGCTACATAATATGCAACTGTTACTATTTCCTTCAGAATGCTAAAGGCTTTAGGTGTCATCTTATTTGTAAAATGTAGATTGCTACCCCTTTACTTTCCCCGAGATAAACATGAAGAAGAGGTAGCCATATCAAAGCTTCCTGCTGATGTTGGGGATGAGAATGGTGAGACTATCATTGATGAGCGAAAAATCAGAATCAAGCCACTGCCCAAAAAGACTGTCTCAAAGCAACCCCAGGCTCCAGTAGATCTCCCTGTTAGTGATGTGGGCTTGGTGCGAAGGTCAGTTACGTTTACTGCCATGATAGATTCCTTTAACACTTTTATGTATTTTTTTTATCATCTCTGACTTTCTGGTTAGCAAGTAGATCGTCATGTATAGGTGATGGAATATTGCTGTTTGTTTCTTACTGCCATGTGTACTTGATTTTATATTCTTCTCCTTTGATTTGCTGGTTAATTATCCAACTGGTTCCCAAAATAGAATGTGATTGCCATGTGATCCTAAACCATGTTGAGTCTTAAGTGATGTTTATTTGATTCTTGGTAATCAAGATCAGTGTATTTGGTCTCACATATTTGGAAGATGAGATATCAATTACCATCATCAAGCTTTCAATTTTCCTTTTTTGGTCAAATGTTAAGCTTTCATTAACATGTTTAGTATGCCACTGAAACTTTGTCAATATGTATGCAATACTCTTGAACCATTAATCTGGTATCATTCTAAAAATCCATCATTACTACTGCTTCAAGATTAAACCAACCACAACTAAGCACATTTGTTTGAGTGGCAAGTATGACTTTCTAGATGAATTGTTTCTCTAAGGGTATGTTAGGTTTGAGGGAAATGCAGGGGATAGGAAGGGAGGGATGAATTTTTTGACCAATCAAATTTTAACGTTTGCCAATGTTGCAGTCTGATTGATTGGTCAAAAAATTCATCCCTCCCTTCCACTCTCTTTCCCCCAAATGAAACGTACCTTAAAGGATTTGAGATGTGTCTATGCATGTATGCATGTACATACATGTGGATTTATAACATGAATACTTTATTCATAAAATAAAAGTTATTCACCTTTTGAGGGTGGTTATAAATATGGCAATTGAAATATGCTTCCAGTTTTGTCTGCCATTACTAGAAATTATGTATTTTCCCATATAAATAGTGATTGGATGTATCTCTGCATCTTATGATCATACATAAAGATATTTATTGTTAATGCATTGTAGATTTTGATCTTATGTGTGTTGAGGAAGAGATCAAGAAAACAAGATCTTGTCTTATCTTGTTTTAGTTCTTTTTTCTAGGTTCTATATCAGAGAGCAATTGCTTCATTATCTCCTTGTCTAATGATATTGTCTCTACAAGATTTCATATATTTGTGTTTTGGTTTCTGACAAATCTGTTGTCTTGCTGTGTGTGCTAACTTGTTGAGGTGATTGTTGTTTCAGTATGCTGTTTGCTGTTTAAACTTAGACAATCTTACTGGCTGCTTTTCATCCTTTTCAGGAATTCTAATTACTTGGATTCATATTTGGATCCTGCTTTCATGTCGCTAATTAAAGATCCAGATGAGAGACGGAAGGAACAGTGGGAAAAGACTGCTCAAGCACAAAGTGGATGGAACTGTGCCAAGGTGCTAGGGTTTGGTGACCTCGGTGGGCCTGCATTATCTGCTGCTGAAGAATACTCACTACACTCTAGATACCTCACCAAGGCAAATTCTCTAAATCTTTCTGAAATTGCAGAGATGAAGATTGTGTAAGTATTCTGGCTACTAAGGCAAATTCTTTATGTATTGCATATCTGCTTTTGCTTGATCTTGTTTAACAACTAGGTAAACTCATTACTTGCCATGCCAGTTACCGTGGTGGGGTAGATAGTGAGGGCCGCCCTGTGATGGTTGTTGTTGGAGCACATTTTTTACTGCGATGTCTTGAGCTGGAGCGTTTTGTGCTTTATGTAATTAAGGTAATTAGCTTATAGCATTGTTCAAATTCATATTTATCAGCTCCTGTTAAGTCTCTTGTCTCATTTATGCAGTTGGCTCTTGGATTCATTAGTTACAGATCCTTTTTGGTTTTTGCTCCACGATGTTGTTCACCAACTTTACCAGCTTTTAACTCTTTTACATCTTTTTTGGCTTGAGGGCTGGCTTATGGAGCTAATGCTTTCAACTTTTTATTAAATTTCAGGAATTTGAGCCCTTGATACAAAAGCCTTATACCATTGTTTACTTCCACTCTGCAGCATCTTTACAGCTGTAAGTATTATAGGGGCATGAAACCTTTTCGCTATGAATTGTTTTGGTTACTTGGTTACTGTACCCTTTGGTTTCCATCTCCTGTTTTCAGGAGAATGGATTTGCGTGTAAAATTTTTCTCAGATACTAATAGACCTGCTCTACTCATCTTATTTATTTCTGTTTTTGAAATAAATAGCCAGCCAGATTTGGGATGGATGAGAAGATTACAGCAAATACTTGGTCGGAAGCACCAACGTAACCTTCATGTATGGAACTGTTATTGCTACACCTAATTTGGATCTGCATTTCAAGTCCTAGTTCTGCTTCTCACTTCTACCTTTTATAGGCTATATATGTTCTTCACCCAACCTTTCACTTAAAGGCGACAATTTTTGCTTTGCAAATGTTTGTAGACAATGTGGTAAGTTGTTACAATGTGGTAAGTTATGAATGCTTTCTCATTGATGAATGATTTCCTGTTCAGAAAGTTTTGATGCTAAAATTCTGGGAACTTAATCTATAGGTGTGGAACAAAGTGGTGTATGTTGATAGGCTTCTGCAGCTATTCAGATATGTTCCTCGTGAGCAATTGACCATCCCTGATTTTGTGTTCCAGTTGAGTTTTCTAATGATCTGCTTTTTGTTATCTCTTTCTCAGTTTTTCCTTTTGAAGATAATAAATGTTCTTGTTCATAATTAAACTTTTACAGGCCACTTTCCTCACTCCAGAAATTATATCATTTTAATAAAGAAAATGCATTAATTGGGCTAGAGTGGTTTTCATGCATATGCGTTTGCTGACTTCTTAAAATGAAAAAGTTGGTTTTAATATTGTACAAATCAAGTCTGCCTATTTTTTTTTGCATCCCATTATTAACAGCTCCATTGACATAAATTAGAAACAAGAAAATTAAGAACTTGTATTTTTCTTGTGTTCTGATGTCTGCAGGCATGACTTAGAAGTAAATGGAGGAAAGGGTCTAATTGTTGATCCTAGAACAAAGTATGTCTATCCTCGGCCGTAGCCGTAAGATGTGCAGTTCCAGCAGATAATAAAGAATTTATTTATTTTTCATTTACTCTTTATAGTATTTTGTAGGTGGGTGGGAATTGCATTTTGGGTCTTGATGATGTAGTGCTATTTTTTTCTTTTGAACATTTGATGATGTAGCACTATTGATTCTTAATTTGTTCAACAAATTTATCTGTTTGTTCTATGAAAGTGAAATAAAAGTCGGTGTAATTTGAGTTGTTGAAATTATAGTTGATTTTTGAACATGGAGTTGTCAATTATAAAATATATGCGATCAGCTGCTCAGATGACATTGCATTTCGGGTCTTTATTATAACTATTATTTTTTTTTTGCCAACATTTTGGGTCTTGATGACGGATAAA